TTGTGCAAAGGATTCAAACACAAAAGTTATCAAGTGTAGCTCAGTGAGGAAAAAGGAATTTATTTAAACTCTGCAAACACAAGAAACCTGGTAGATTATAATAAAAACCAGGAAGAAAAAAATATGGACCAGAAGGGCAACTTCACACTCATTTATAGTTACTGCTCTCTGTGAAAGGTGCATGCTGATTTGGATTTGGCCTTTGAGTTAGCTGTGGCTGTACTTTCAATTTAAGAGATGGTAAAGGTATCTATCCCTTTACTTCCCTTGCAAATATTTTACAACAAGTAAGCAAAAAAATACTTCCAAATAACCAGACGTATGTCCCATATTTATTTTTATTTCTTCCCCCACTGTAAATCATGCCTTTCTCCACAAATGTTGTTACTGTGGAGCCGGTATGGGTCTATTCTGCAAATATGGGATTTGTCCCACTTCTTTCCTATAGGATTAGTGCCCACCAGAGCACATACCATGGTGGGTTACATATACTCAGTGGGATTACCACTGATGATGATGAGGTGGCCATAGGAGATACAGCTTGTTGCTAGAAACCCTCAAGAGAGGGCAATGAAAGCAGTATCTGCTATAGCTCATCTAATCAAAGTTTCTCTCATGTATTTGTTTCCTTTAACTCCTGATCCTTCTTCAAACTTGCATTTTGAACCAATAGAAATTTCTAAGGCCTGCCTGCAAAATGTATTCCTGTAACCTGGCATCAATGACACCATTTTGTCGGTAATCCTCAGAGCAGGGAAGCTCTCAAGCTCTTCCTGTGATGGCAGTAGCTTGAAAATAAAAGGCGGCAGTTTTTAAAATGGGGGGAAACTTAGTGCAAAAAGGCAAGGGTTTTTCTTAAATGCCAGAAAGTGCCAGAAGTGAGGGTGCTATCCTGTGCATTTCTGTTGTTAAATAGCACCAGGGTAATGTGGGACTTGCTCTTCCATGTTACTGGTGTCTGCACTTGCAGCCCTTGCTGCGTGCAAAGACCCAGAGCAGCTTTCCAGCATGAGCACAGATCTGCAGCTCGGTCCTGACAAGGTCTTCAATATTTCCTTGCTTCTTAATTTATTTCCCAAGCCAAAGTGCTGTCAAACCAGAACCCTCTTAACACTGAATGAGATTGGATACACTTATCGTGCCCTTCTTGTCTTGCTGCTTTTTTTTAAACCTGTTGTATGTTGCAAGTAAGCATAGGTCCCAGGAGACTTCCTCAAACTTGCTTTGTGAAATGAAGTCTGATTACATACCCAGAATCAGCATGAGTATGTCCCATTAGCCTGGGCTTTTCCTTAGCTCTGAGGGCTGTGAGTGGGTTGCAAAGAAACATTTAGTAACTTTTGAAGCATAATTGAAGCCACATCAATATCTGGCAAAAAAAAGGATGTGAGCAGGCGTGACTTTCAGGCAGCACATGTTAAGATGCAGTGATTAGTAGTCAGATGCTTTTCAGTGACCAGTTTAATGGTTAATGTCTGTCTTGTAATGAGGGATCATTTTTATTTCAAGTTCAGCATTCAGATTCCCACGGTCATGCTGGTAAAACCACAGAACATTTTGATCTGTCTTTTCAACTCTATTTTTCAAATGAATTAAGAAAGTAGGCCTGATAATGGATTAGGAAAGATCCATTTGTGAAGGAGAGAGTGACTGGAAAGCAATACCAAGATCCTTGGTGAGGGCATAAGATTTAGTTTTTTAGACCATCTGCCTTCTGTTTTAGAAAATGAAATTAAATAAATCATGATTTGAATGAAAGGATTCCACTTTAAAAAATTTCCACTGTAATTTCCTTCTACATTTCCAATCCTTTAATTATAATTTTCAAGCTTTGCATCTATGCAATACAGAAAAGTTATTTCTTTGTTCTGCAGAATGAAATTGGTGTACATTCCACTTGTTGGGAAAATAAAGCTTATTAAAAGCCTCGATATAATTACAGTACCTTAGAAGAGGCTATTAAGGACAACAGGATTAACAGGCAAAAGACCAAGGGTATTGTTTTCATGAAGTATTGCTAAATTTCTTTTCAATAAAGTCTGATATGTGTTAATTTGGGAGATAATCAAGGTGCATATTTTACAAATACCTTTTGAAGTTGAACAGTGACGATTTAAAATTGTTATTCACTGATTATTTCAGAAGTTAGTTTTGCTTTGTTGTACATCTTGTGTCTATATATATGATTATAAAGGTTGCTAGAAAAGCTTTAGGAGACACAGACTGTGACAAGCACAAATGAAGTGAAATGCTAAAAACCTGAAAAATCAGTTGTTTCTTCTTAGAGATTCTTTCAAGTAATTTTTTAAGTCAGCACAGATCCCCCATTCAAGGGTGTATCTTTGATATGCACCAGGATGCAAACTAAATTCTAGTTTCCAGAAGCAATAATGCAACTTGAGAGAGCTTCAGTTCAATATTTAGAATAGAGGGGAAACTCTACTCCCTTTGTAACAGCTGCTTTCATATATGTAAAACAAAATGCCCTCCTTTTACTTGTTCTGTTTTGGCATGTGCAGTCTTCTACACATACACAGAACAGCAAAATAAACACATGTACTATATAGAAGAAGGCTCTTACAGAAAGCTATGAAACACAAAATTTGGTGTGGTGTATCTTTCTTGTGCAAGTACACAAATTAAATAGAAAAAGTAGTTTTCAAGGTCAGTGATTTGTGGAACATGTCCAAAAGAAAAGGAATGAAAAAAATTTTGAAAATCTCAATTAACTTATCATCGTGACAGCTTTTTTCATTGTGCAGATTTCTGTTACTTCTTGCAGAAAAAGGAAGTACTCTTTTGTAATTTTGTCTGAAGGGAATGTAAAAGATGCATTTATGGAATGCACTGCACCTTACTGAACCTAGCATGGCTGCCTATGGAAGGGCTTCAGTCCAGGCAAGTCACAGAATATTATGTATGCAGAGAGGCAGAAGACTCATTCTGCATTATTGTTTGATATCTTGTGGTAGAAATGAATCCACAGTCAGATACACCTTTTTTTCCCCCAACCTTTCCATAAGAAATTTATGGCTTTTTATTGTTATATGGAAGTATTTTAGGATCTAAGTGAAAATATATCTTCCATTAAAATGAAGCAATACTGCATAGGGTATTGATGTGTATTTTATGACTTTATGGGGAGCAAGAGCTTTTCTCAAGAACACAGCATTTTGCAACAGCTCCTTTAAAAGATTAAAGGCAAAGTGATTCAGAGATTTCAAGAGCCCTGTTGCCACTTGTTCCAATTCTTCAAACAGAGGCAAACCTCAGCATCAAGTCACTGCAGTTTGGAGATGTGCATGTAAGGCAACTCCTGGATAAGCCAGATACTGAGATTTTAAAATCTCACTCCAAATCCATTACTGTGAAGTGCCAGGCATCTAAATGTCCTGAACATGCTTGTTTATAGTAACCTTTTGTATGCAGTGTCCTCTTCTGCCCTGAGTCAGCCAGAGGCTGCAAGTCTAAAGAAATGCCCATTGCAAATCTCAGTGAAAATAACTTTCTGCCATGTACTTTTGAGTTTAAATGTTTCTTGCATCCATCTTTCATAAGAAGTTTTTGGACAATCAGGCTTCCTTGTATGTATCCTGAAGTGCCAGTGCAGGAATGCAACGTTTCCTTTTTTCTTCAAATTTTATCTTACTTTCCTATAGGTATTTTGAGGAGTGGAAGTATCCATTTAGCATAAAACCTTAAGAGAGGGAACATTAATTTAAAAGCAGAAAAATACCAACATTTTACTATTGCATGATCTAACTCTTTTTTTCTTTATTATTCCAGTGAAGATATTCTGTGCATCAATTTCTTTGCTTTCCCTCACTCAATAAATATTCTGTTTATTCAGGAACTGTTCTCAGTGCCAGATCCAAGCAGTGCAGAATCCTGCAAAAGCTTTGCTCTGTAGCAAATCCCTCTGGAGCTTTAACTAGGACCTCCAAGTTGTCTGTTTGCCTTCTGCAGCAGATGGGCACATACAAAAGAAATCATATATTCCAGGAAGCAAATTTGTATCACCCCATTGATTAGGGACATCTGAATACTAATTTGATTTGCATTATAGATGACCTTGGTGAGAGTAAAGTGATGTACAAATGGAACAGTGCAACTGGTGTTCTGTGTGCTCTCTTTTGCTTTCCAAATGTGATTGTTTAGACTTTGAAGAGTTGAAGTACTTTTTGGTGAACTTTGTCATCGAGGAGCATTAATGAACTCCTTCGTCTTTGACAGAATACAAATATTCCATGTGAATTCTGGGTGTGTAGGGCATGACATCTGTGCAGAGCTGATGCACTGCTCATTAGAACTTGCTATATTGCAGTATGGAGTGCCAGCAAAACTGCAAGAGAGAGAGGATCTTTCATCTGTACAGCTTTGTTTTCAAACCTTCGTGAGAAAGTGATCATACATGAGGATCATAGCTTAGATGAATACATAATTTATAACAATAATTGTTATGAAGGTGCTTCAGCCTAAATAAAGCCTAAATAAATAAATAGAAGTGTTGCTATGTATATTGTTAAATATTCTGCTTCCGTTTTACTGTAGTGTTTCTGCTGGTGACTTGTATAACTCAGGCTTTGCCTGGATTACTTACATTGCACATTGATAGGTCTGTGTTGGTATGTTAATTCTGTCTTCATGTGGATTTTATGGGGGTACTGTGGATGTATAATCTGCACACTCTGAACAGTGCTCATATATTACCTATCATGCTTTCCATTGATCTCCAGGCTATCCGGTGCACTCTCGTGAACTGTAGTTGTCAGTGTTTCAAACCTGGGAAAATAAATCAGCGACAATGTGACCAATGCCGGCATGGATGGGTAGCACATGGTAATATATGTTTTTACAATCTATAGAAAACCATTTAGGATCCTCATAACTATTACATGCTTTTTGTGTCACTCCTTGCCCCCCACCCCAATATTAGTTGCGTTTCATTTTCTCTTTCTTGAGACTCAAGCTTATTTACATTTTGTGATTTTTATTTTCAGCCCTGAGCAAACTAAGGATTCCAAACCTCTACCCATCAAGCCAAGTAGAAATAGTTCAATCCAATGTTGTCTTTGATATCAGTAGCCTCATGTTGTACGGAACCCAAGCCATTCCTGTGCGCCTTAAAATTCTGCTCGATCGGCTTTTCAGTGTTCTGAAGCAGGAAGAGGTGATACAGATTCTCCATGCTCTGGATTGGACACTGCAGGATTATATACGTGGATATGTGCTGCAGGTATTTAGTGGGGCTTTTAAAGTAGAAATATGACAGTTAAGTAGTTTTCTATCTTAATCTTCTCAGTGGTTCACAATGTGTTAACAGTGTGGCACATCTGAAAGGCAGCAATAGACATGTACGAGCTTAATGCCAGAAAAGAAAGGGTGGATTTCTGGTTATGGTCTCTTTTTTTAGTTGGACTTAATTGAAATCTTTCTACTTGCTCAAATCTAACAATAAAGGTAAGCAAAAATAAAAATCAAAAGTTACTGGTAGTGTATCAAAGTAAAGGCTTTAGAAGTTGTTCCAGTATTATTTAAACAGTGAGTTTGCTTTTATACAGCAGAATAATACATCAAGAAATAAACTTACCATTATTTAAAACACCAGGGACAATATTAATCTCTGGTAGTGCTATCGACCTTACTGGAGCAGCAGCCAGAGTGTATTTGGCCCTATGTGCTTACACTGATGTTAGTCCTTGCTGCTGTGGAAGTTACCTTTTATGTAATGTAACATTATGATCTTACATTATGACATGAATCAATATTTAATGGTCTTGATAATCTTGCTTTTTAGTGTTAGGATTAAAAATATGGAATCAATTACCTTGAACCTCTATCACATGAAAAATTTATAATGTTACGTTCTTCATCATCTTAAAAACTCTTACATGCACTGTGAAAAATCTCAGTAGGCCATCAAATACATGTTCTGTGATAAAATATTTATTGTAGTTATTGGGAAAAGTTAGGCATAGCTAGAGTTTGAAAGAACTCCAACACTAGTGTAATTACAGCTGTGCTCTGTGAAAACTGGCAATAGATCAATATAGGTTCATTTGTTCTCTGATCTTAGTTGCTTGGAAGATTATTAAACTTGCAATAAAAGAATACTTGACTTAAATGAGGAGCTAAATCTTGGCCTGATTGCTCCATCTCTCCTGTCTGTGCTTACAGGATACTATCTGTTGTTCAAATAACGTGTCTTAATTTTTGTGAAAAAAAAAATAGTTTATTGGAAAGTACTACTGTCAGTTCAGGAAGAAGTAATATCACCAATGTGATAAAATTTGGAAGAAATTATCACAGAATTCCCAGTAATCTCATTAAATTGAATGTTTTTAATTTTTTGCTAGAGAATAAATTTTAGTCCCTGAAAAACATGAGATATTTGAGGGGAAGTATTTTTTGTTTGCCTTAACTAATGTCTAACTCATTTAAATATTTTTGGCTTTAGGATGCTTCAGGAAAGGTGCTGGATCACTGGAGCATAATGACCACTGAAGAAGAACTGGCTACTTTGCAGCAGTTCCTTCGCTTTGGAGAAACTAAGTCCATTGTAGAGTTAATGGCAATTCAAGAGAAAGAAGGGCAGTCGATCATAATACCACCACCAACTGCCAATTTGGATATTAGGGCATTCATTGAGAGCTGCAACCCACACAGTCCTAATTTTTCTGCTTCCTTGGACAAAATGAGCCCCACCAACATTCATCCCTTTGAGAATCTTGTAAATAACATGGCTTTCATGCTGCCGTTTCAGTTTTTCAGTCCAGTGCCTCCACCTTTGATAGGTTCACCACCAGAAAGACATTTGATTGAGCAAGGTCAAGAGCATAGCAACGAAACCAAACAAGATCTTCAGATACCATTTTCTGAAAGCAGTTTCTTAACTTCTAGTTCTGCACCATTTCAAGTTGAAAATGAGAGGAGCATAAATGGCCCAGATATCACTAAAACAGAAGATGATGCCCTTTTAAGTGATTCCAGTTCACATAATACAGCAGCCAAGCTTGAAATGACAGCACTATCTCCAGAAAACAAAATGAAATCTGTTGAAAAAAATGCTGGGCCAAGGAAAGGGCGTGTCTTCTGCACTGCATGTGAAAAAACATTTTACGATAAAGGTACTTTGAAAATACATTACAATGCTGTTCATCTGAAGATAAAGCACAAATGCACCATTGAGGGCTGCAATATGGTGTTCAGCTCTTTGCGTAGTCGAAATCGTCATAGTGCAAATCCTAACCCCAGACTCCATATGCCAATGAACAGAAATAACAGGGATAAGGATCTAAGAAATGGTTTGACCATTGCTGGACCTGGAGACAGTAAAAGGACAGAATTCACAATTTTAACTCCGGATAGCAGAACTATTTCCAGCTATGCCAGCTCCTGTACAGATTCAAAAGGCCAGGCTGGATTTTCCAGTATTGGGCATAATGGTGTCCTCTTTCCAAACCTGAAGACAGTACAGCCTGTTCTTCCTTTTTACCGTAGTCCAGTCACACCAGCCGAGCTTGCCAATACTCCAGGTACTCTTCCTTCTCTGCCTCTCGTTTCTTCCTCCATACCAGAGCAGCTTGTTTCCAATGAATTGCCATTTGACATGCTCCCCAAGAAGAAGTCTCGTAAGTCCAGTATGCCCATTAAGATAGAGAAAGAAGCTGTTGAGACGCCCAATGAAAGTAGCGATGTTGCCAGCTCTGAAGATGATTCACGCCTGCAGGGGGTAAGCGATGGAGAGCTTGAGACCTGTGAGCATAAGATAGAGAAGCGGGTGACCGACAGGGTGGAAAAGCACCCCCATTCAGGTAATTCATGGAAATCTCTCTCTGGGGTAGAGGGCCCAAAGTATTTTGAATCTGTCTTTGCACCAAATAACAAATACATCGAGGATATCTCTGAGAATGAATTGCAACACTGTGAGAAAGAGGTTAAACCAGAAGAAAACCAACCATTAAAAATAGTTTCCCATGAGATTATGTATGAAGATCCAAAACACCACCACAGTGATGTTATAAAACCAATGACTGAACCCCCCATGTATATTAAAGAGCAGTCAAAGCACAGGATTCCTAAAAATGACTGCCCTGAATTGCAACACCACTTGCTGACCGGGGGCTTTTTCAGCACTTTGTCAAACAGGGGTGCTGCCATTCCTTGTTTTGAAGACTCTAAAGATATGGATCATGTCAGTCAACATGCACTAGGGATTCAGAAGGAAGAAAGCCGCTTTCATTGTGACATCTGTAAGAAGACTTTTAAAAACCCTTACAGTGTAAAAATGCATTTCAAAAATGTACATCTCAAAGAAATGCATATTTGCACAGTTGAGGGCTGTAATGCTGCTTTCCCTTCTCGTAGAAGTCGAGACAGGTAAGAAAATTATACACAAAACTGTATTTATTTTACCATCACAATGGAGCCTAATTTGAAATTAAAATGAGTGTTTGAGGAATGGAGCCTACAAATATTTTCTGTGTATCCTCGTATAACAGGTATGATAACTTATCAGAACGTTCTTGAAATGAAAATCCATTGAAAGAAACATTTCCTTTCCACAAGACTACAAGGTATTAAATAAAGCCATGAAAATTTCATAACAGATAAAGACTGCAGTAGTTGAAAGCATACTTTAGTACATAAAGGGAAAACCATAAGGGTATGAATTCAGCAATTTTCCAGTAGATGCATGTGTGGACTTACATGTTTAATATGTACTTTCATGTATATTTTAATGTATACAGTGTTTTTAAAGAAAAAGCAATGAGATCAATTTAGAAAATCTTCACTTGCCCTTTCTTTACTCAAGGATTTGGAACAGACTGGTGAGAAAAAGCCCATAAGAAAAGCAAGATTAGTCTTTGTCAGCCCAAAATTAACCTTATGCAGTGGTAGTCAAACTAACATAATCTGGTGTTTATCCACATCAGTAGTGCTTTTCTGCGAGATTAAATACTAATTTCTAAACTAAAGCATGAGCTTGATTCAGTTTAATGCTCATTTCAGTACTGTGTTGCTGTAATTATTTTATTTCAGCCTATTATGCACATAAACTGAGCAACAAGTGCCGAAGCTTTGTCGTTGACCATCAGTAACGTATCTGAAGCAGTCAGTGATAGGTAATCAACCTATGGAAGTGTTACAAGTTTTCCAAGTGTGCAGCGGTGTTAGAGCAGCTTTGGGCTGCAGGAAGCATGCCTGGATAGTAGTTGAGAGTGACACGAGGTTTAGGTTGTCTGTAATCTGCTAGGAGTGCTGGAGCCAGCTGATGCAATCCAGAGAGAGGATGAGCCGGTCTCTGAGGACTGGCCTCTGCATCTGAGATGCACAGACTCATCTGCTGCTGGCAGGGCTTCATACCCTGCTGCCTGCATCTTTCCAGATGTGAATTCCTCCCCACTGGAGTTGCGATATGGGCCACAGGAAAGAAGGCCAGCAGTAAGATTTGCATTCACATGCCACAGATTCCTTCCCACACCAATATGTTGAGATAAGTTTTCACATAGGTGCTTTTGGAAGATGGGTTAAAAAAAAAAAAAGACAAGCAAGTTCAGAAGTCATTTCACAAGCTTTGTAGAAAACAATAGTTATTTGGAACAACTTTGCAGAAGTTTCTACACTTTAACATAGAGGAGTGTGACTACACGTGCTAAATATTTCTGTGCCTTTTTGAACAATTCATGGTTCTGTTTAAACCATGATGGCAAGAAGAAAGACAGATGTTTTACTAGTATTACAATAATACCTTCAGTGTTCTAGACAGAGCCTGTAAGTTCCCAGTGAGCTGATTAATAATATTCAGTGAGGAACAGTGATTCTGTATGTTTTGGTGGTTTTAAACTGAACCCAGAGGTGCCTATTTGAAAACTGCAAGTTGCATCTATTTCAATTTTCCTTATTCAAGGAAACTCCTGTCAAGAAAATTCTCTGTTACGATAAGTACAGCTGCATCCTGGACATGGTTAGAGTACATGGGATCATCAACATTTTTTGCAAACTCAGGTGTCAATCCTTTTCTGCTTTGTCCATTGGGAAACAATCTTGTTTCTTACCCACCTCAGTCCATTCTCTGATGTCAGTTCAGTTTACCAGTTTTTAGTCTGCCTCCACTTCTTTTAGGCTTAGCACTGGATCTAGCAGAGCGGACAGCTTACCCCCAAAGAAAGCAAGAATCTGAAACATTGATTGCTGTAGAGTTATTGCATAGACTCTGATATATGCTAGTGCAAGCAAGTTCAGAAACCCAGTCACATGTGTAAACCCAGTCCATATGCACTCTGTATGGTAGTTGGTCAAATCTGAAGTTTACAATTCATGCATGCTACTAAATATTGATTTTTCATTTTTTGTTTATAATCATTATGAAACAACTGCTAAGTGAGGTGAAACACTTTCTTGCTAAGCTTGTCTTTGTTCTTCTAGACATAGTTCAAACCTAAATCTTCATCATAAACTTCTGACTAAAGATACACTGGAATTCAACAACCATTTCAATGCAACATACCTCTTGAAAGACATGGCTAAGGAGTTTTGCCAAGATGTCTCTTTAAAACAACACGTTGGACGTACTTCTGTAATCTTCAAAGGAGTGAACAGAACAGGCAGCTACATTTTTCCAATGAGCAAAATTGCAGAACCCTGTTCTGAGAGCTATGGATACGATCCATTAAATGATGGAGCTGTTCTGGATCTAAGCACTACTTCCAGCGTTAAATCTGAGAGCAGTGCTCATTCTTCTTGGGATTCTGACGGAGGAAGTGAGATATGCACCATGCCCTTGGATGATAGTGACGAAAGCTGTGAAGGACCCAGCCTAATGCCCAGTGATGAACTCTACCAAGACTGTTCTCTAATTGAGAAAGCTAATCAAAACTTTATAAACTTGCCTTCCAGTTTGCCAATAACTTGTCATATATGTCAGAAAACATACAGTAATAAAGGAACTTTCAGGGCTCATTACAAAACTGTGCATCTCCGCCAGCTCCATAAATGCAAAATCCCAGGTTGCAACACAATGTTTTCATCTGTTCGCAGTCGGAACAGGCACAGTCAAAACCCCAATCTGCACAAAAGTCTGGCTGGGTCACCAACTAGCTTACAGTAAGATCAGACTGATCTTAATTTATTTCTGCTAAGAATTAATCATTTCAATTAAGGAATGTGTTAACATTAGTTTTATTTAAGCTCATTTGACTTCTAGCTCACTCAACAATCACAGTCAAATTCTTTTCTCCTGTGTGTGCTCTCCAGCAGTTTCAGTTAGCAAAGCTTGGTGCTGTAGTTTTTGTGCAATTGTTTGATGTTGAACAGCTAAAACTTCTGTAAGGAAAAGACATCTTAGAAATGGGGGTAGTAGGGAGAAATTAATTAAAGTGTTTCTGATACCTGTGAAGTATTACTTGCCACAATAGGAGCTTCAAATGAGAGCCATCATTGCTTGTGTTTACATGTTAAATGGATTGTTGTGTTGTGTAAGAAATGAGTAATGATTGGGATGAGTTTCCTCTGGTTGGGTTGAGAATTTTGAGGCTACCATTTCATTCCTGAGACCTTAGTCTGAAGCTAACTTGCAGTGTTAGTGGAACAGAATATATGTACCTAAGTATATCCCAAAATCCAAAGGAGAAGGTGAGAAGGTACAAATTTGGGAAAACTGCATAAAGTCCAAATCTTCTGAAAATCTTGCAGTCCTTACTCTTTAAGTTTGCATTTCACTTCAGTAAATATTACAGTATTTTGGATTTCTTAGAATTTAATACCATTTGCTTTGCAGGAAAAGGGGCTACTTAACTTGTTGGCAGAATAGCCTGAATAAATCTGAGACATTCTGATAAATTGTAGTGGTAGAAAGAATGAATAGGTTAAGCTAAAATTTCTAAGCTGTTGCAAATGCATCCATAAAATAAGGGGGAAAGTAAGCCCTTTAATTTAAAATGCACTTTTTGAGTTCTACTTTCAGAAAGAGAAAAGTTTTATTAAAAATAGGAGGAAAAAAAAAAAGAAAAAGATCCCAAACCAAATATCCAAACTTCTTAGGAGTCTGAGGGTGCAATTCTAAGCCTCTGAGAGAAAGTGATAAAATGGATGCAGTAGATAGATACATCTTTTATGATGCAGCAGTTATTTTCTCTTACCAGAGGGGGATAATGTGTTGATCTTTGTAACAATAGAAGAATGCTTATTCTCATTCACACCTCTTTTCTTTTAATAAGAACTTTGTTCAATATCTGTTAAAATGTTTCATATCTTTGAGGTTGCCCCTGTAATTAACAGTATTCTGCGTTACATTCTATGCACTTAAGAAGACTGGCCTTGCATTGTATTTAAAAACACTTTAATATTTAATTTGTAGTCACATCATACAAATGCTGTGTGTGTACTTATGGTGTGTCCTTTTTCAATCATTTGCAAAGAGGAAAAGAAATAAGAAAGCAAGTCTTTTACAGTACTTTTTTTTACTTTATTCCACCAGTGGAAATCTGTGGATCAATTCTAGTATGCAAGCATGAGATTGACAGCACAATCTGTACATATTATACCAAAGTGCTTACAGTATTTGTGGTTTCTAGAACTAGCCTAGTTTTCCAGTATAACTGGATCTTAGTCTTTATTCATTTTTGTGACTGAATAAAAATAGACTGAAATTCCAGATTTCATATGTATGTAGAAAGAATAGTACAATGCTATTGCCATATGTCTTGATGTTTAACTTATTCTAAAAAATACTATGGTATTGTAACCATTTCATATTGTATAAAAGAAACAAATGTGGACTGATTATTTCACCAATTCTTTTGAAAACTGGTTTGTGTGTGAGTATGGGTTATGCAAGGAAAAAAACATGACACAGTTGTAAATGTTTGTGCTCACTAGAAATGGTTTCCATGCGTTGTGTAAAGTAATCTTCTATTTTTTTAATTTACTGTAGGTTTATGTGATATTTAAAATAATCCATTTGTGCTTGAAGCCGTCAGGAAAAAAAATATTAGCCTGCGGAAAGTTGTGCCATTGCTTTGAGGTTTTGTGTTCTGGGGGGAATCGGTGTTTTGGTTTTTTTGGGGCGAGTAGAGTGGTGTTTGTTTTGTTGAGGTTTTTCATTGTTGTTTTCTTTGGATTTTTAGTAGAAACTCATATCAGTGGGGGTCATAGTTTGAAAGCTAAGGGCACAATCACAGGAGACACAATTGCTCCCAGCCTTTTGATAGTATAAATCAATTATTTGTTATCCAGCAATTTCAAGCTCTTTTTTTTTTATACATATATAGCTACATATATATATAAACCTCTTTGTTTAATCATTAACTGGTTTTTTGAAACAAAATGTGATGTAAACAAATGTAATGCCCATTTATTTAGTTTTCACTGTGTCAAAAAAAAAAGAAACACATTTGTATACCCTAATAATTTTGTATGTGTTAATAAAAACCAATAATAATGCCTCTGGTTGATTCAGAAATGTAGGCTTTTTTGCTTGAAAATACTGCTATTCTTAATTTTTATTTTAAAAAAAGAACAATTTCTGAGAACACATTCTGTCTGTAGAGAGCACTGGTTTGACAAGGGTACTAACTTATTCCATAATAAGGAAGTGTCATTATATTAATGAGCCATTAGAAGTAATGTAATAAATGTTGTCAGATATTTTATTGATTTTTTTTTTCTTTGTGCAGTAGGCAAGGGTAGAGGTTCGTTTAAAAGCTGTCAGCTAAACAGAAGGTAAATATCTCATCATTGAGAACTACACCAAAAGATATTTTGTGCTCTCTTTATTTTATATACTTTGGAAGGGTTTGGTGGGGGTTTTTTTGTTATTTCTCCAAAATCTGGACAGGATGGGAGATTTCTCAGAATAGGCTAACCCTTAGTACCCCTAGAGCAGCATATGTATCTCATGAAGCATTTGTGTAGCTCCCTCCTCCTAATGACCACAATGTGGCTGGACCAAGCCTTGACATCTCCTGTTAGTTTTAAATACGTGTGATGCTTATAGCAGCCCGTATCACATATTCACCACAGATGTTGAAGGAAGTAACCTCACTTCAGAATAGTAGTACCATTATTTTTGGAGCTTTTCAGAGTCGGTCTGGAGAGCTGAAGCAGCTTCCCCTGGCTGGGGCTCAGTTCCAGAGATGTTCACATCTGCAATCTGTGAGTATGTGCAGTTGGGGGATCAAATCTTTGCCTGAGATTTGTACTGGGCCTGGGCATGCCCACCTTTGCTGCTTGAGTATGTTGCTCCTTTCTTATTTTTATCTTTTTTCTTCTCCCTTAGAAAACAAGAACCTCAAAAACTAGATCCTGTCGTCTTTCTGTGGCTCCAAAGGAGAAGGCACGGGTGCACACTGGGGGGTAGCCACTCCGAGCATCCAGTTTCAGAACACAGGTATTCTGAATAGTTTGTGGTAGCAAATCTATGTCCCTCTGGAACAATGAATGTCCTGGTACTTACAGGAGTATTTGCAGAAATCTATTTTGAATGGAGTGTAAGGAATCTGTTTTTATAGCCCCAGTTTTCTAAGCACTTTAAAAAGAACTGTGGCAAAACCAGAGGCTGTTATTTCTAGTGAATCTTTACTGAAGTTATACACTGCAAAACCCAGCAAAGTGGAGAAACAAGTTCTGAAAATACCTGTCTGATGCCCTGCATTGAATAGGGAAGCCTAAAAAACAGCTAAACTACTTGGACTTAATCCAGGGATTTTTAAGTAGTGTGCCAGGTCCTTCTTGAAAAAGGCTCATGAGCAATTTCTAATTAATCAGCAAGCATAGATTTAAGAAAAGTGGCTAAACTGAAAACACCTTTGGAGTTTGAGATACAGCCCATAAGGATTCCATTCAGCCTGCAAGTGAGCATTCCTTTCCAAGCTGAAATGAGAGTTTGAACTGGGAAGGAGACAACAGTGCAATAAGAGGAGGAAGGTTGGATCAAAGGTTTTGTTCAGAGCAGCATTTACTGGCAGTCCCCCTGATTTGAGGGAAGGGCAAGACGCGGTTTGAAGTAGAATTAAGTATGCATAGCATGACCGAGTCAGCTTTGAATGACTTGGAAAACTTTTGGAAAACTCTCGAGCAGATTGCTGGCTAGAGAAATTTCCACATAACCTCAGCAAGCATGTTTCTGAAGGTAGACTGGCTTTTAATTTCCCCTTGCCTTCACCCCTCACCCCCTGCCTCCCCTTGCCTTTTGGCACTCCTTGGATGAGGCGAGGTTGCTAACTTGGAAATATACTGTTGAAACATCACCCTGTTAAACTGGAGCCCTGTCAGCTCAGTTCCCTGTGAGCACCCTCCAGCTTTTATGTGTGGTCTGTAAAGAGGCAAAGGAAAGGTAACACCATGAAGTGACAGTCCCTCTCTGGTGAGCACTGCATCTAACTCTGCATTGGTTTAAAGCTTCGTGGAAGCATTTGTAGCCTTTTATATTGTCTCTGTCGCTCCTACCCTAAACTGGTAAAACTTACTGTGAATTACTATCCATTATTGCCTGCAGATGCTTATGTTTAATAAGCAGAGAAATTGCTTTGACTGCTGCATGCAGCACTGAAAGTGTTTGTCAAACTTGTGCTTGCCAAAGTCTCTAGCAAAACTCTTTTTAATTTGGACTGTGAGGAGCACTATATATCAGCATCATTCTACAATTTTTTGAATTTTTTTTTCTTTTCAATAACTTCAGGCCAATTCAAACATGTCTTAAGTGTGAGCTGATTCTTTCCTCCAGTCTTTTAAATCTTTGGTCATTATTCTTCTGCTCATTCAGTGTAGGGATTTCCAAAATGTGTTATTTTTATAATATTGCTGCTATTGTTAACTGTCCTGCATCTGCCACTCTTTAGAAGCTTGCAAATTTAGGTAGAGGCAGTCATTGATGACTGTATGCTCTGCCAGTATTTTCAAGTCTGAGAAACTGTCAGGACTATGGAATTAGTTACCACTTTTTGGAAAAGCATGTTGATGGATGCTTGAACAAAAAGTCCTAGATGGACATACCATGTACTAGCAAAAGCTCAAGCTCCCCTGTCATACGATGATATGAGAGAGAGAACTCTGTACTTTTGAAGCTTCTTTGCCCTTTTTCAATCTTTGAATCAGACTGTAAGTTCCTAAGATGTGTGACACATTTCCTATTCACTCCCTGTCTGTACATCTCCTACCCCAGACCAGTGTCTCTCAAGAGCAGAAGCCCAGTCTGCCCTTCTCACTGAAGCCTAAAGCCACTGAGGGGACTGTCAAGGATGAACTGAATTATCCTGGATTGTTCTTACCTCCTCTTTGTATCCCTTCAAATTTAGAAACAGATAGTCCTAACATTTGTTCAGTGACAACAATAAACTGCAATAGCTTCCTGATTTTTTTTTAAAAAGAGGATCCCATAGTTGTAAGTAATACATTACTGTTAAGGTATGTACTGAGCAACTTGCACTGCAGTAAAACTGAGCAGATCAAAAGATTTCAACCTGAGTTCTCATTTTAATTCCAAAATTATTATTTTAACTATAGTCATTATACAAGCTGTTTTCTAGGAAAATATCTTATTTGAATCTGTTGATTTATAAAAATGACAATATGTATATGCACTTCATGCATAAGTGATTTATGCACACATATATATCAATACATAGTAAAATTGCATATGCATAGTGCTGCATATTCATGTTAAACCTCATTCTGTTCTCATTTATGATAATGTAAGTTGGGAACAGTTTCAATGAATTTAGTAGAACAGGGCTTATAAAACTGGAATCATGTCTCAACAAGGATCATTAGCTACATGTGTGAGTAAATAGGCCCATGCTGGCTGCTTACAGTGCTTTGTAACTGCTAACTTACTAAAACAGGTCAAAATATTACACTATGAAAGAAAAAAACAAGTTTTCACTCATTTCTATACCCCCATCTCCACAATAAATGATTAGTTTGCAGGCAATATTTCTACATGACCAACGTAACAACTGTTACTAGTGTTATCTTTGCTGGTAAGAGAGCATGAAACAGATCCTGCCCAGATATAAAACACTGACTCTGAGTGAGCTTGGCCAGTTTAGTCAAGTTCAAAATATGGACAGATATGCCTTATAACATTCCGACAGTCTCCAGCCAAAAATTCTCAAAGAGAACAAAATGTGTGAGTGTATGGAGTGTAGAGATGTGGAGGAACCAGGAGCAGCCAGAGTGACTACAGAGGAGACGCTAGGAAAACAACATAACTTACTGGAGAGGAGACATGTTATTGCTGCTCTGGGAAGCCAACATCTGCACCTCTGTGTGGGATGATATAAACCTTACGTTGGATTCCTGAGCACAGAGAGGCCATGTGCAATGAGAGGTACACACAGGCTTCTCAGGCTGTAAGCAGCTCCAAGGGAGTGTGCCCCGAGCCAGCAACTTGCCTAAAGCTATCCTGTGCAAAGTTATGCAAGGCTTGGTAGTGATATCTACAAAAATGGGGGTTTCTCTCTCTTCAGAAAGGGCTGTGTGCAGAGCTTCCCCCTTTTGCAATGGCCTGTAGATTGTGAGTCCCTTTGCCTTCCTCAGCATATCCAGGAAAAACTCCTTTGAGTGAAACCATCTACTTGGTTTTCCCAGCACTCTGCCTCCCTCTGCTTTAGCACAGAATACCTTCACCCTCTAACTACAAAGGGCAGTGTAGCTAGAGCTTCTGCTGTGCCCATCCTTATCAGCTGTTTCATCTCCTTCCTTTCCAGGGGAGGTGAGGGGCAGTGGTGCACCTAGGTTTTTCTCACTTCTGTGGAGTTTGATGAAAATCTCCAGTCCCTGTGTTTCTTTTTCTCTGTTTTACCTTGCACAAACAAGAATGAAGAAGAGCAGTAGCTGAGCATGAACTGGGGCACTGTAATTTGGAGTGCAGCCACAGGGTGGTTCCAAAGGGGGAAGGAGTGCATGGAGCTCTCTTAATATTGTGGGTGGCATTTGTGCACTTTTTTGGTTACCACCATCCACAGACAGAGCATCTTTGATGAAGAGCTCCTTCTTGAATATTATTTGTGGCAGAAAGGGAGAAGTTCTTTCTTTGAAACAGTAGGAACTGAATGGAGGTGAACCCATTATGGAAGCTATGCAGGCATGAACAGCTACTGCCAGTGAGTGGATGATGCCAGTGCGTGGGAGATGAAGCAGAAATGGAGGAATATCTGCATGTTGAAATGAATGTTTTATCTGTTCCTACACTTTTTCCTGTTGCATTTGGGAATGCTCCTCTACCTTATTTTTCCTGTATTCTGCTCTGATTGTATGAAGAAACCTCTTTAAACCTACAGTAGGAAAGCAGTCTCAGTTTCCCACTTGTATCTTTGTAAACCTGTATCTTTGTAACCTTTGTAACCTGTATCTAACCTGTATCTCATTATCTTTATCTTTTTATGATAAAGGGATGGGGGTTTCCCCTGTATTCAGACCATGCAGTTCAGCTGGAAACAAAACTCCAAAAAGCAGTGCCTGTTCTCACATGGAGCTGCCAGCACTGCATTACACACACTCTGCTCTCTTGCTGGTGCCTTTGAGCAGATGTAAGATTGGTCTTTTTGTGTCCCCATGGAGGATTATTGCAAATGTAGTTTTTGCTTGACATTATATTCCTCCATTCTAATTTATTCTTAAAAAATCTTCAGTATTCACAAACAATCACTTCCTCTATTACTAGTCTTTTGTCTTCAGCAATGTAAATTACTGGGTTTAGAGATAAGGAGCAATAGCCACTGTTTGGTCAACTATCCTCTTCTTTCTATTGCCCTTTTCTGAGACTGAAAGAAATCAATTTGTTGTTAACTGGCATTTATTTTGTTTTACATGTCAGGCTATTATTGTAGGGAGTGGGTGATATTTAAAAATTGTTTGGCCATTTTCTAGGTCTGCCTGTGAGGACATGTTCAACACAGGTATGTCCTGCTGCACTCTTCTGGCTGGAATTAGAACTGGCCAGAGCAACCTTTTCATTGCTAACAGCAGGAGGTGATGCTGGCTCTGCCACATGGTAGATGCCTGTGTAAAATCTAACAGAGTCGTGCTTTAGAGAACTAAAATATAAATTTTCTTTCCTTTTGTTTTAAGTGGTTCATAGCAGTCATACCCAGGCAATGCCTCGTTGGCATGGATTCCTTACAGCACCCTGCATTTGTCCTGTGAGGCCTGTTGGTCATTGTACCAGACCAAGGTCATGGAGTGGGCAGCAAAATCCAACTGTTACTGCCTCAAACATTGGGATAATAAATACCCATGATCATGTTAAGTAATGGAAATATATCCAGTGTTGCACATCTGGTTTCAGGGATGCATTAACCCAGACAAAAACAATAGTCAAATAGGGAAAGTAGAATAATTTCCAGGTCAGTAATATTAACTGTTCACACAGCACTCAGGGGAAATCAAACACATGCATTTGCATTCAGATATGCACTACAAACACAAGAAGTCTGCATATTCTTCTAGAAAAGCATGCCAAATTTTCTTTAAGAAGTTGTGGTTTTAATCATATTAATTACATGTTGGATTTGGGCAGAAGACCACCATCATGACATTACATCAACAAATTTTGCACTAATATAAATACCACAAAGAGTCCTGCAAACTAAAGGGAGCACACTCTATCCCAGAAATCCCTGCAGAACGTGGTTTAGCAGAGCAGACCTGCAATGTCACCCTACTTGGCACCCTCCTTCTGAAATTTAGAGTGCCTTGTGATGCTAGTAGCAGTGAGGTTTTTCTAGAAGGGAAGATTTCTGATTTCCAATTTCTTGTTTTGTATTTACACTTTCTATCTTGATATTAAATCACAGGTCTTTCTTGGATGTATTTCTCTTGTGCTTTAATATGGATATAAGTAGAAAATCACAAAATTGCAGAAATTCTGTCAATGGCAGAGAGTGCACTTTTTCCCTAATTCAACAACAGAGAAGAGTCTCAGGGCATTTTAAATGAAGAAGAAATGTTTAATTCTGCATACAGAAAATGCTTTTAAGTGAAACATACATTGCAAAGAGAATGATCCCTCCCCAGAGTTGTGGCCTTGCAGGACTGAGTCACAAGGACAGTTTGAATGATGTTTTGTTCTCATTAGAATAATTATATGCTGCCATGTTGGCAGAAGGAGGTTACCATATGGAAGAAGCAGCTAGGGGTAAGTGGATATTCAAGACAGCTGTAAGCTTTATAGAAGCTGTGTTTGACCTGCAGGATAGTCCAAGTTTTTGGATCCAGGTGGGTGACCCTGTGTCCATCCTGGTGCAGGTTTCATCTTAGAGCCTTGTTGTGTCTTAAGGACTAGTGCCTTAATGCATACAAGTGCATTTTCATTGCTAACTTAAGGGCTTAAAATGCACCCACAGTATGGTTGGGTTGGGTGTACTTTGAGGTTTTTTCTGTGTGGTACAATGACTTTTTCATCCCCCTTTTCCAACCTAGGATCTTGGCACAAAGTTCTGTATTTTTCTTAGCAACTATGTGGCTTCTTGGCACCAATGCAAAACTTCAGAACAATAATTTGATTAAATGAAGAAAAAGGGGTTTTACTTTTAGTCCTGAGAATTCTTACAGAATCTAAAGCTAAGTGGGGATGAAAAATGTGAGAAAAAAAGACCCAAGCATAGAGAAATTAGTGCCACCAGCTCCTTACAAAAAATGTGATTTGGGAAAGTTCAGATATTCATCATCATATTCCACCAAGCAGCCAGCCCAAAATATAATGCATTATAATTCCAAGTGTTATTAGTATTCCATTTTTATCTGTTGTTTACAGTGTGAAAACCAAGCCCAATGTTGCATCCTTACTCAAGGACCATGTTGCAACACCTTTCTCATGTGCACTGTGCCATAAGGAAAGATTATTCACATAATCAGATCATGGCCTTCCTATTTCCTCAGGCCTTTTGCCCAGAAAAGGTGACTCTCACTTTTAGAGAGCTAACTTTGAGTAGCAGCATACAGCAAAAATACATTATTTTTAAATTTTTAAAAATGAATACTGTCTGTGCAACATCATCATGCATGAATTGACAGGGACTGTTAGAATTACAGTGTCTCATCAGTCAAAAGCCTTGACTTCACACCAGCAGGTAACTGAATTAATGGATCTCAGTTTTGTAAAACAATTAAATAATGGCAGCATTGTGCCCAATATCTGCAGGTGGAATAAATATGAGTTCTCTTCTTTTGAAAGTGTTGAAATATTTGCTGAGATCTTAATGTCTGTGGCTTCAAAAACTGAGAGCAAAGAATTTTAATCTCATTGCTCACATGAGAGCAGTGAGACATTTCTCCAAATTGTTTGGCAATGTTTTTGCTATTGTTGAGGTTTTTTTCTTTTGTTTTCTTGTACTTTGTTAAAAGCTGGAGCACATTCCAAGTTTATAGGTGAAGCTATTGGATAATTTGTGCACTTCTGTCTTTTGTTATTCTCAGATTCTGCTCTCACACAGTAAGTGTGTATTTCTGCTGAAGTAAATATCTAGGGGGGAGAAGTCTTTTTTTCCCAGGCCAATAGCAATCTCTCTCAACAGAAGGACACTTTTAAATGTTTTGCTATAGCAGATGCAAAGCAAAAGGATAGATGTTGGGAAAAGATACATGGTAGGGTGGGTCTGAACCGCTCTGGTATGGAAGAATATTCCTAAAAAGACAAAGGCCATAACAAAACATAGTCTTTTCACTGGCTAGATTATGCCTCATCTTCTGCTGGCTCCATTCTTGCTCTGTTTTATTTTCTTGAAGGTAGCTGTAGGCTACTGAAAGGCCATAAATTTTAGAGCAGCAGGAAAGGAGGGACCTAACTCTATTTAGAGACTAAACAAGGACAGAAAGTTCCTCCATCTTTCTGCTTCTTTCACATGAAGTGAACATAAGAATCCCTTTTGGACACAAAACAGAACCAAAGCATCTTTTAGTCAATACATTTCTTCATTCTGGTCCATCATATGGGTCAAAGCTGCAGAGCTTTCAAGCTGTAATGAAATAGTCTTTCAACCTTGTTGGGCCTAAAGCAGAATATTGATGTCCTTGGCTTTAGAGAAGGGAAGGACAGTCTCCTCAGATGGAATCTCTGATACTGTTGACTTTTAGATAATTTTTAGAGATTCTCTACATCCATAGCTTCAAGTTAAATCTCTGTGTTGTTCCCAGACAATCCTCTATCAGTCTGTAGCTTCTTCCAGGGCTTTTCAGTTATAACATGCTCTGGCAGAGCAGAAAGAGGAGGGAGTTGTACCTTCAATGTCATCCAGGCCTGCAACAGCTGTGTAGGAGGAAAGAATCAAACTGCAAAGTATCAGAACTGGAATTGAACCCTGATAGCCAGGTCTGCCTGTCATCTCACCATTATCGTAATCACAACACATTTCTGCAGCTGACTGTCAGGTAGAAGGAGAGGTTAGATTATGGTTCATTCCCAAAAAAAATGAATACACCATCTTAAGTCAGAGACAATACTGACAAAACAAGAATCAGCTTTAGCTGGAATGTGGGTATTTGCTGGAAAACAGTGAATGGAACATGAATCATATTCTACCCAGAGTTTGCAAATCAAAGAACTACTGAATTACAAGTGATTTTTTCAAAGGACTGCAAGAATTTCTACCAGATTACCAAGGGACTTCTGTCTCATGGTGAATTACAAGCAGAAGACAGGTGCAGGCATTGATTTGACTAAAATATTCAGTTTGAGACACAGTGGAACTCTGCTGTTTGGTTAAAATTCCTTATCCTAAATCACAAGCAGTTCCTCCTCTTTCACTTAATCCCAAAGGGATTGTTATAGCAGTGGACACTGAGTAAGTGAGCACATTATCAGTCTGTTCATCCAATAAATACCCCTTCTGCTCTCTGTGCATTAACAGAAGGGAGTGAGTCAAAGCTGAACAAAGAATTACAGTGCTCTTGGAATTCAGCCTACGATCCTTCCATATAATGCCACCTTAACTCCAGTAGGAGTTCTGTTGTAGGTTGGAGTAAATTTTGCTCCTCAGCTCAGGTAAGCTGTAGGCCTTGTGCCAGGTGTTGCAAAGAGCATTAATGCATTTTCTCATCTTGCAACTGTTGTTTGTGTTCTAAGGCTGAATTTGTTTTCAGTATTTTTCTCAGTGCAATATTTGCAGCTTCCAGTACTGCTTCAATGCCCCAACTTGTAATATTTTGCAGAAATGAAGGGGCTGAGAGCATGTATGTATGTATATGGCATTAGCATATAGTAATGGTATGTTTTATGACGTGTAAGAGCTACTAAGAAATTGGTTTGTAATTCTTCAGGCATTCCCCACAAAGACTACTGCTGTGAGTCACCCCACTGAGATGGGTAGGATCAGACCTTGCACATGCTCCCATGGTATTTGTCCATTGGTCTTCTCTTTAGAGAAGCTGTGGGTGGTGACACAGATGTGCTGGACTGGTCACTGGCCTTGTTTCAATTTCAGATATGGAGCTGTGGCTTTCAGACAGCTGGAGATGGAAGGGATGTGCACCTTTCACATCTCAGCTGAGAGACTACACCAGGATGTGTTTGTGATGATTTCAGGGTGAGCAGCCATCAGCAGCATTTTGTTGACTGTAATGTGCCACACAAGCAGCAGTGTGGTTCTACTCTGAGCTGGGGAAATCGTGTTGGTTCTGCTGCAGGATTCTCATGTCACACCATCCTCTGCCATAACAAAACACCAGCAAATGTCTTGGCACAGAGAAGGATAAGGTTCTTTCTTAGGTGAGGGAAGGGAACTTGCCCCACCCTGATGATATTGTTTGTGCTTCAAAAGAGCCTCTCTTTGAGAACTTCTTAATGTTTCTTGGTAAATTGAGGTGCTGCACAGAGCAATTAGAGACCAGACCTCAAGGCAGAAATGTTTAATCCTTATTTTTAGCACCTTGCATTTTTTGAGTGCACCCCATAGAGTGAAGT